TTGTTGTTGTTGTTGTGGGGTGGGTGGGGATGGTGGTGGGGGGTGTTTTGCTATCCATCAGGCCAAGAAGGAAGGAAACATTGAAGTTACGAACCAATTGGAGACGACGCTGAAGTTGGCGTTGGAAGAGAAAGAAAAGACTTTGCGGCCGGAGATTCGCGTACTCAATATTCTGTTGAGAGGCAAGTCCCCTGCAGAACGAGCGGACACAATTGCGAAGAACCGATCCCATTTCAGTAGCGACAGCTATTTCTTCACTCTGCTCAACCGAATGATCCAAGATGTAGAGAGGCAGAAAACAAATGCACAACGTGCCCAGCTTCTAGCTCAATTGCGAGCGATCCGCCGAGAGACGCAGGAGGTGTCGAAATCAATGAAAAGGACAGAGCAAAAATAGTAATAAATACTTATAAATACAAATAATATATATAAATTGAAATTAGACAGTCAGGTAGTTCAGTCAGCGGATTCTTCTCGTGTTTCCTCTTCTCTTCTCCCGTTCCTCCCTCCTCCTCTCCTCTCCTCCCTCCTCTCCGACCTTCTCTCTGTGCCTTCTTTTGTACCATATCTTCTATGCATCCCATCTCCTCTCTCCACTCTCCTCTACCTTGCTCCTCTCCCTTGATCCTCTCCCTTGGTCCTCTCGCTAGCTCGCGTTTCGTCCTCTTTCTTCCTCTTCTCGCCTACCTTCTCTCCAACCCTCCCTCCGACGTTCTCTCGTACCGTATGTCCTATCCATCCCATCTCCTCTCTCCTCTTTTTTCCTCTTGTCTTCTCCTTCTTCTCCCTCCTACTCCTTCTCTCCTGCCTTCTCTCGTACCCTATCTCCATTTCTTCCCATCTCCTCTCCTCTGCTCCTCTCCCTTGCTCCTCTTTCTTGCTCCTCTCTCTTGGTTGTCGCTTGCCGAGCTTCTCTCGTACTCTCTCTTGGGCTTCCTCTCCTACTCTCTCTTACCTTCTCTTCTGCCTTCTTCCGCATCTTCTCTCCTCTACTCCCCTACTCTTCCCTCTTCTTCTCTTCTCCTCCTAGCCACTTCCCTTCTTTCTTCCCCTGCCCTCCCCCCCCCACCACCACCCACCCTCTTGGCCCCTTGCCTCGTCTCTACCCCTTGTTCCCCTGATTCTCTGTTCTTTTGCCTTTTTCTTCCTCTTTCCGTTTTTGTCCTTTTCTCTTTCCGCTCTTTCTTTGAGTTGTCTTCCTGTCAAATAATTACCCAATGTGAAGGTTGAATCGGTGCAGAATCAATGAGCAGCACTTCCTTTTTCTTTTTTTGGTCATGGCAGCTAACTGTTATACGCGATAGGGTAATCAATAGGTTCGGAAAAAAAAAAAAAAAAAAAAAGGCCTCGCATGCAAGCGTTTTTGTTGTGCCACCTCTTAACGCCGACTCTGCAGATGTTTCCAGACCCAGACCCCGCCCCCCAAATACACCCCCAACCAGCCCTGCCTTTCTCTGAGTCAACGCTGACGCGCTGGAGTCTCAGACACGGTTCCAGTCGAAATCTGAACACAGTGACGCCCATGTTTGTATGTGTCACGGCGAAGTGGAGGGTTGTACTATCATGTGGCTGTGCTTCTGTAATTTTTTTTAATTTTTTTTTTTTACCAGCGGACGTCCCCTAGAGGGGGGGGTACAACCAGGCCCTTCTAGCAGGCCCATTGCGGGTGCTCCGGTTTACTCAAGTCGTCTCAGCAATCTAGACATCAGAGTATGGGAGAGCAGAAGGTGTCGAGTTTGATTCTTGTGATTGACTGCCTCCCCCCCTGCTTTTATGATTCTTTCAGCGTCGCAAACATTATGCTTCTGGCACAAGGGTCTGCAGGCGTGCAGGGTCTGCAAGACTCTGGAGAGCCTGCCGAGTCTGCAGAGTCTGTAGGCATGCAGTCTGCCGATTCTGCTCAGTTTCCTTAGGTGTTGGCAGGTGCCTGCAGAGTCTGTAGAGTCTGCAGAGTCTGCAGAGTCCGCAGAACCTGTAGAGTCTGCTGACCCTCCTGCACTGTTTGCAGGTGCCTGCAGAGTCTGTATCGTCTGCAGAGTCTGCAGAGTCTGCAGGGTTTGAAGAGTCTGAAAGACTGTGAAGGCATGGATGCGTATTGACTCCTATAGAGCCTTTTTTTTTTTTTTTTTTTTTTTTTTTTTTTTGAGAATCTGCAGAATCTGCAGAGTCTGCAGAGTCTGCACTGACGCCTGTCTCTTATACACATCTAGATGTGTATAAGAGACAGCTACAGGAGGTTGAAGAAGGCTGGCGCCAACCGCCATTGTTCATGATTGGTTTGCCATGTGAATTGATGATGACGACGATGATGATGATTATGATAATGATAATGATAATGATGATGATGATGATTATGATTATGATAATGATAATGATAATGATGATGATGATGATTATGATTATGAT